TAATTACACTGTTTATTCCTCATTGTTTTCTGTACATGACATCTTAAACCTTTCATTTTATCATAAGGAAACACAGAAGAGTGACTATAATCTCTTCTATGAGAAACTGTTGGAATATTAATAAATTATTAGGAAAAGAGATGGATTCTGCCTTATAAACGCCACGTTGTGGTTTGTGCTTATAGGAGGTGATACTTAAAGTTTTATTACCCTTAAACCTAAATTTTCCATAAATGAAAATTCTTGAAAGAATTATGAACTTTTGCTACCTTGGTAAAAAGACATTAGTTAGCTTGTTTTTATAAATTATAAAAGCATTATGTTTGAAACTTAAGAAAAATAGATCTCCAACCACAATCTCTTGTGATTTAAGAAAATGGAAAGTTAACATACGTTGGATATATCTGTAGTATAGAACCTTTTCTATCACAAAAAATTGTGATACATCTTTCCCTAAGGATCTCAAACTCCTTGTAAAAGACATGGTTTTCTTTGGTAGCTAATTAGTTGTCATGATGTTAGCTTATATTTTTTAGTGCTTTATTTTCTTTCAAAGTACTGCCCTATATGTTACTTCCACTTTACAGTATTTATTTGGTTACACAAAGGATTCAGTATGGATTGCAACAGTTTTATTATCAGTGAACAAAAGGAAACATTCTATATTTAGGGTGTAGTGGAGCGATCATCATGCTAAAAATAAAGAATGATGGCTTCTCGGGCCAGCTATACCATTAACTCAGGAAATTTGGGAGAATTCACTGAGCTTTGGACTTTAGTTTATTCATCTGCAGAATGAATGACCTCTAAACCCCAGAAAACCCCATTAAACCTCAGAAACAAGTAAATTCTAGCACAATATATTTTTAATATCAATAATGCTTTCTCACAGATACAATGATCTGAAATCTATTTTCCCCGCCTCTTTTTCAGTGAGCACTTTAGCCTTCTAGCACATTCCTCCACTGTTTCATATAATACTTAAAAGTTTTGACATTCTCTGTTTCTCCACAGGAGTTTTATGAACATGAGCATCTTTACTTGCTGTTCTATGCCTACTTTCTCTTTGAAAAAAGACTCTAAACATATTTCACTGTTCTCCAATTTCAAACAATATCCTCCAACCCTTTCAAAATAGGACATTATGAGGCCAGGTTCCTGATGCTTCTATCTTCTTCCTCATACATCTGGAAGGAAGGAGTTGTCTTGTGAACCCCAAAAAATGACATCAGGTTTCAACTGCACTAAGATAGGAGCAGATGAGAATGCTACATTTTAGGTCTATCATTTTGGCTTGATAGGAAGTACATCTTGTTTTTCAGATGAAGAAATTAATATACATTGACTTAGGAGGTTAGAGATCTGATTACACAGTGGTTAAGTGCTCAGCTGCTAACTGAAAGGTCAGGAGTTAGTTCAAACCCATCAGCTACTCTGTAGGAGAAAGATGTGGCACTCTGCAGTTCTACCCGGCCCTGTAGGGTTTCTGTGAGTTGGAATTGACTTGAAGGCACTTGGTTCGATGTTTTAGTAAGAGGTTAGAACACAATTGGTACACAGCCGGTTAGCTGGTTAGCTGGTGATATTGTAGTACAAACCGTTAACTTGCTCTGCTGCTAATGCAAAGTTTGGAGGTTCAGTTCTACCCAGAGATGCCAGGGAAAACCTGCAGACTGACTTCCAAAAAACAGCCATTTAAACCTATGGATCACAGTTCTGTTCTGACATACATGGAGTCTCTAGGAGTTGGAACTAACTCAATGGCAAAGGCTTTTGGCATAGTGCCTAAGTCATTTGACTGCTAACCAGAAGGCTGGTGGTTCAAACCCACCAGCCACTTCTCGGAAGGAAGATGGGGCGATCTACTTCTGTAGTGATACTGCCTCAGAAACCCAAGGAGAGGTTGCTATGAGTCCGACTTGACAGTAGTGAGTTTGGTTTGGTTTGTTTTTGAGTTGAGAGGCAAAATAACTAATAAAAGAATAAAGAGATAAAGAGAAAGACATAAAAAGATAGTGTTTTTTTTCTACCTAAAAGGCCATTATGCACTGAGCAACTCTCTTAATACTCAGGCCACTGATTTCCTGACCATTAATCTCAGGCATTTTTCAGTGGGATGAACCATGATAAAAACTGAGTATTTTAAAAATAAATCCATCTCTGTAAATTTTAGCAAAATGAACTGCTTGTTTTCTGTTAAGATGAATAAGAGAATGAATATGTTTCTTCTGGGAGGTTCTTTTTATGAATAATTACAAAAAATAAAAGATTTATTTAATGTAGAGTAACTTTAGGGGGTCATGTTTAACAAAATACATGTGGTGTTCATTCAAAGAAAGAAAAGTGCATTTAAACAAAAACTGAATTCATTTGTGCACACAGATAATCCATTTCCTTCATCATCTGAGACACTTGCCATAATCTGTGGGTGCCTCTTATTATCAGAAGTATCTAGAGGGGTGTGTTTTGTATGTAGATGAGGTTTTGGATGACTGGTGAATTTCAAAAGTAACTACATTTGTTGTGAACATAAATCAATGTTGTGTACAATCACAGCATTCATAAAACATACCTTCTTTGCTTTTCTATTTTGTATCTTCTTTATAGCACATTAAATAGAACATACTTATAGTTTTAATCAGAATATATGGAAATGTTTATGTGAATAAAAAGTTCCTATGAGTCGGGGCTTACTCGACGGCACATAACAACAACAACAACAACATGGAAAACAAAATACTCAGCAAAAGAGTCAAAAAACACAAATGGCTTTTATTTAATTAATTTATTTTTTTCTGGTCTGGAGAAATTGTTCTCTACTGCTGTTTTGAATGCAAACATTAAAGAAGCGAATAGAAAAGCAAACAATTCAGTACAATTGCCCAACACAGGGCTGATGGAGGGAGTAAGAGAAACGAGGAAGGGAGGGAGCAGGTTGACTATCTCTCACTGGGCTTGATTGGGCCATGGTTCACAGGGATGAAATCAAGCCAATCCAAACAATCAAGTACAGTTTTCTCCCACTATCTGAAAGTAGAGCACTCCTATAAAATCTTTTTAAGCCAAAATGATATAAAGGGAAGACACAATTTTCCATTTTATATGAAAAAGAAATTTTGAGAGTTCCCAGGCCCAAGAAATAACCTACCAAATCATAAATAGAACATAAAACTTAAAATAACACTAACATATACAGGCATACCTCAGAGATATTGTGAATTTGGTTCCAATAAAGAGAACATCACAATAAAGCAAGTCACATGACGTTTTCCCCCAAGCGCAAATAAAAATTATGTTTACACTATGTTGTAATCTATTAAGTGTTCAACAGTATTACTAAAAAGTTTGAAATATTGTGGGAATTACCAAAATATGACACAGAGACACAAAGTGAGCATATCCTGTTGCAAAAAAATTGTACCAGCAGATTTGTTCAATGCAAGGTTGCCACAAACCTTCCATTTGCATAATGTAGTATCTGTGAAGTGCAATAAAGTAAAGCCCAGTAAAATAAGGTATGGTTGTAGTGTTCACATACACAGTCCAAAGGTGTGCCTGCTTGATCCTGAGATGCTGAGTTTAGGTCCTTTGGAAGAAGCTTGGCAATGCCACTCTTACTGCTTAGGGTGTGTGCTCACTGTCTATTCAATAACTCACTGCAAAACAGGTGCTGAGGGGTAGCTTTGCTCTTCACCTTTTTCTCATGAAAGTGAAAATCCTCTTCAGATTTCTTTCGGTTGGAAAACAGGTACTGATGTTGATCTTTCATAAAAGGGAAGGGACGTAAAATAAATTTTCAAAAGAAGGTGATACCTGTACTCCAAGCAACCCTACGAAACCAAACTCACTGCTAACAAGTCTATTCTAACTCTCAGACCCATAAATTTGCAGCCCTAAGGATGAAAAGCAAGGGATCCATGAAGTGATGAATATAAATGAATATACAGACACATATAGTTATATACATACACACACATATGTATATGCTTACACCATGTGCTGTTTGGTCCCAGAACGAGACCTTGAAATGATGTTAGAATTATTATGCTTTTAAGCATGAATAATAAACTATCGAGCAATGCGGTATCATACCCAAGAACAATAGATTAAAACAAAAACAAAAAACTAGTTTTAAGACCTATTGGTGGCACATTGTGGCTATGTAACTATGGAAAATTGCTTATACTCCTGCTACATTAATTAGCTTATGCCTGAAAGAAGTTGGTTAAACTAGATGATCTCCAAGACGTTTCTGTTTCTAACAACTGTTATTCTGTGACCACATGACCAGTCTTTTACTCTATTTCCCAGTATCTAATTTCTACTACCCCGTATTTTTGTTAGATATTTGGCTTAAATGGGAAAATATCAGATGATCTGAAATGAGTGACTGACAAAGCTGTTTCTAATGATACTATTATTCCTTCCTTATGTAACACATGCCTCTCATTAAAAGAAACAATACTCAGCCTATATTCTCACAGCATTCATATATTTTAGCTAGCTGTATCTCCTTAGAGGAGGGAGAAGCAAAGAGCAATTTTTAGACTTGCTAAAAGTTTAGTCAAACCATATTTAGATCTGCCACTTATTAATTTGTGGTCGGGGAAAGTTTCTTAACCTCCTTGAGTCTGTTTCCTTATCTGTAAATTGTAGAAAATTATAGCACCGATCCCATGGGGTTGTTAGAAAAGTAAATGAGAAATGCTCTTACAGCATTTAGTGTAATTTCGGCACGAAGTCAGCACTTGAAGAATGTTCATTATTAACATTATAAAGGTTTTAATAACTCCTTCACATCTGACTAATTCCAGAAGCAAGACTGGAGAAAATATTTTCTTTTGATGTTTAAGTAAACATATGCTTATATACGGAATTCTCAAGTCTTACTTGAAAGCTAGAGGAAAAGCGGTCAACTGTGAAATATCGAAAATATTGGTAAAATGCTATTTTATTTTCAGAGTCTGACACAAATCTGAGCACGCTACATTTGTTTTCAGCTACTGTTGACCCTAATAAGCCTGTGAGTGGATTTGAAGACAGTACTGCACGGAGCGAGGGTCTGTCAGACCTCCCGGAGGTGGTCTCCTTGAAGGAGCGGATGGCGAGGTATCAGGCAGCTGTTTCCAGGGGAGACTGCCACAGCTTCTCTGCTAATGTAAGCTGTTCCTGGTGGTTTTGCATTAGGCACTGTGCTTATTATCTGCCCTTCACACTTCCTCCTTGCATTTGCAATGTGAGAATGCTAGTAGACAGGGAGATAAAGTGGGAAGAGCATGGAAAGCATGTGAGTCAAATTCAGGAGATCTCAATTTATGCTGCAGTTCTGCTATTTATTACCTGTGTGAACTTGCGCTACCAGTTTAAGCCCTCTGTGAGCTTCAGTTTTTTCTGAGCCAAAAAATGGATGCTACATCTACTGCACAGGGTCTTAAGGAGCATGCATGGTGCAAGTGGTTTGGGATCCGATGCAACAAGGTTAGCCATTCAAACCCGCCAGCTGCTCTGCAACATCAAGGCCTGGCAAATTGCTTTCGTAAACATTACAACCAAGAAAGGTAACATAGGGGATCTCCACGAGTCACGGAGACTCGACGGCTGCTAATAACAACGTAAGATTTTTTTGAGGAGACGAGGAGATAATTTATGTGGGATTGATTGGGCCATCTACTTCCGTGGTGAGACTGTGGCAGAAACCCAAGGAGGGGTCGCTATGAGTCGGATCCGACTCTACGGCAGTGAGTTTGGTTTGGTTTTCATAAGGCTCTATACAATTGCATTACTGTTGTCATCATTAGCACTTAACCTATAGCTATTCTCTTCAGGAAAGTTGGCAATTAATTTCAAATTTGAATGTGGGTCTGCACACTGCCCTCCTTGGTCTCATACACAGTGCATTTAAATGCACTGGCAATATTACTTCTTTTGCTTTTCTCCTTTCTCTGTAGGCACTAAATCCGTTAGGAATAGTTTAATCAACATAGAAATGAGAGAGATTAGCGATGGAGGCCTTCTGCTAAACCAATTATAATTATAGGAAACTGCAGGATTCAGTGAGACCACCAATTTTTAGAGCCAACCCATAATAATGTCATATTCAAAAGAATTTGTTGGATTCCATATACCATGGCTTTCAATCCACAAGATTTGATGAGTAATTTTATTAGTAAAAGCTTTCCAGCCTAATGGAATATAAGGATATTTCTTTATACTTATAATCTCCAAATTAGCAAAATCGTTCTTTTCATCCAACAAAAACATACTGAGAAAGACAGGGAAGGCAAGAAGGAGGGAGGGAGGATGGGTAACCAAAATGAGTGGTATTTTAACATAGCACTGCTAACATTCTTCTCGAATTATTTAGAAAGACAAAGCTGACTGTGCCAAGTTCATTAGCAATATTACAGGTCTAGATGACATTTAGGTTTTTACAGAGTCATTAAAGCACATTTTAGACACAGACTAGATTTTGAATGAATGCATCGAAATGACTTAAGCAGCTAGATCACTTCCACAACAAATACTATGTCCTAGGCCTCCTGCCAGTTTGCTTACATAGCACCCCCTGCTGGATCATGACAGAAGTTTATCACAAATTTGTGTTCTAAATTTAGTATTTAGGAAACAATTAAATTGAAAATATCTAGTTAAAGAGCAGTCATTTAGAAAATAATCTTTTATTTTGGGAGACTTTGATCATGTCATGCACTAGAAGACTGACTATACCATAAAACAGACTGGTATCAGCGCATGATTCCTACTTATACTATGTTAAAAACACAATGCTTAAAAGGTTACTTAAGGGAAGTAAATAAAGTATTGCACTATTCTATATAAAAATTTTGGGAATTAATGATATTCTGTAAATAGTTTACCTATGAGACATTTCACAATTTTTCTGGAATTATGTGGGAGGATCTTCAGTCTCCTCTTTCTTGCCTATTTTATAGACATGGAAACTGAAGAGAATTCATTTATGGGGATTATACAAGAGGGCCACTATGAATCAGAATTGACTCTATGGCAAGGAGTTTTGGAAACAATTAGGTAGTGATAAAGCCATGCCCAAAGCAGAAGGGTGGGAGAGTGGGAGAAAAGGGGATAAAAAAAGCCAGGAACCCAGACAAAGGAGCAGCCAGCCAAAGGGATCCCAGTGAGGAGAGGGAACTCAGGCACACCCAAAGCAGCAGGGTGGGAGAGTGGGAGAAAAGGGATTAAAGGGCCTAAGAATCTGGACAGAGGAGGAGTCAACCACAGGGACTCAGGTAAGGGTGGGAGGAGAGGTTTCCAACAGGGAGACAAACTTGTCTGTCAGTTTGTCCTACCATGGTGACATGTTGATGTGAGTTTTGAGGCTTAGCCACTGGTGTTTCAAACCCAGCAGGATGCACATGGTGCACAGGTATCAGCCCAGCTTACAAACTGAGACAGACTAAGAAGAAGGAGGAGACTATTCACTTCTCAAAGAATTGGCCGGGGAAAACCTTGTGAATAGCAAAGAAACACTGTTTGATACATTACCATGCAACTTTATGAATAGTCCGGTTAGGTTAGAAGGCTCTCAAAATAGGACTGGGAAAGAGCTGCATCATCCGAGTAAACCCAGCCTTACTCTGATGGATAAGGTAAAGCTTTTGAGACCTCCATTTGCTGATGGGCAACACTCAAATTGAAGAGAAATAGCTGCAGACATCCATTAATCATTGGAACATGGAATGTACGAAGTATGAATCTAGGAAAATTGGAAGTTGTCAAAAATGAAATGGAATGCATAAATATTGATATCCTCAGCATTAGTGAGCTGGAATGGACAGGTTTTGGTCATTTTGAATCACACAACCATGTGATCTACTGTGCCGGAAAGGAATGGCGTGGCATTCAGCACCACAAAAGATGTTTCAAGATCTGTCCTGAAGTGCAATGCTGTCAGTGATAGGATAATATCCATATGCCTACAAGGAAGACCCATTAATACGACTATTATTCAAATTTATGCACCAACCACCAAAGCCAAAGATGAGGAAATTGAAGATTTTTATCAACTTCTCCAGTCTGAAATTGACCAAACATGCAATCAGGATGTGTTAATTATCATTGGTGACTGGAATGCAAAAGTTGGAAACAGAGAAGCATCATTGGTAGTTGGAAAATTTGGCCTTGGTGACAGAAACAATGCTGGAACTCGCATGGTAGAATTTTGCAAGACCAACGACTTGTTCATTGCAAACATCTTTTTCAACAACACAAACAGTGGCTGTACACATGGACTTCACCAGATGAAACACACAGGAATCAGACTGACTACATCTGTGGCAAGAGGTGGTGGGATAAATATCTTCAGCCAAAACCAGGCCAGGAGCTGATTGTGGACCAGACCATCAACTGCTCATATGCAAGTTCAACTTGAACTTTGAAGACAATTAAAATAAGTCCAAGAGAGCCAAAATATGATCTTGAATATATCCCTCCTGAATTCAGAGATCATCTAAAGAATAGATATGATGCATTGAACACCAACGACTGAAAACCAGAAGAATTGTGGGAGGATATCAAGAACATTATCCATGAAGAAAGCAAGAGATCACTAAAAAGACAAGAAAAGAAGACTAAAATGGATGACAGAAGAGACTCTGAACCTTGCCCTTGAGCAGAGAGAAGCTAAATCCAATGGAAGAAATGAAAAGGTAAAAGGGCTGAACAGAATATTTCAAAGAGCAGCTCGAGCAGGCAAAACCAATTACTATAATGAAATGTGCAAAGACCTGGAGTTTGAAAACCAAAAGGGAAGAACACGCTCAGCATTTCTCAAGCTGAAAGAATTGAAGAAAAAATTTAAGCCTCGAGTTGCAATATTGAGAGATTCTAAGGGCAAAATATTGAATGATGCAGGAAACATCAAAAGAAGCTGGCAGGAATACACAGAATCACTGTACCAGAAGGAACTGGTTGATCTTCATCCATTTCAGGAAGTGGCATATGATCTAGAACCAATGGTACTGAAGGAGGAAGTCAAAGCTGCAATGAAAGAATTGGCGAAGAACAAGGGTCCAGAAATTGACGGAATACCGACTGAGATATTTCAACAAACGGATACCCCATTGGAGGCACTCACTTGGTTATGCCAAGAGAATTAGAAGACAGCTACCTGGCCAACTGACTGGAAGAGATCCATATTTGTACCCACTCCAAAGAAAGGTGATCCCGCAGATTGTGGAAATTATAGAACAATGTCATTAATACCGCACGCAACTAAGATCTTACTGAAGATAATTCAAAAACATTTGCAGCAGTATATTGACAGAGAACTTCCAGAGGTGTAAGCTGGATTCAGAAGAGGACATGGAACAAGGGATATCATAACTGTTGTCAGATGGATCTTGGCTCAAGGCAAAGAATACCAGAAAGTTATTTACTTGTGTTTTATTGACTATGCAAAGGCATTTGATTGTGTGGATCATGACAAATTATGGATAACGTTTAGAAGAATGGGAACTCCCAAACACTTGATTGTACTCATGAGGAACCTGTACCTTGACCAGGAGGCTGTCGTTCAAATGGAACAAGGGAACACTAAATGGTTTAAAGTCAGGAAGGGTGTGTGTCAGGGTTGTATCCTTTCCCCACACTTATTCAATCTATATGCCAAACAAATAATCCAAGAAGCTGGACTATATGAAGAAAAAAGTGACATCAGGATTAGAGGAAGAATCATTAACAACCTGAGATACGCAGACAACACAACTTTGCTTGCTGAAAGTGAGGATGACTTGAGGCACTTACCAATGAAGACTGAAGAATACAATCTGCAGTATGGATTACATCTCAATATGAAGAAAACAAAAATCCTCACAACTGGACTAATAAGCAGTATCACAATAAATGGAGAAAAGATTGAAGTTGTCAAAGAATTCACATTGCTTGGTTCTACAATTGAGGCCAATGGAAGCAGCAGTTAAGACATTAGATGACGTGTAGCACTGGGAAGGTCAACTGTGAAGGAACTGTTTCAAGTGCTGAGGAGCAAGGATGTCTC